TGGATGTGTCCGTGTTGTAATGTCCTGTGGAGAAAGAGACTCCACGATGGACTGGCCATCTTTCCAAGGAGTCCTGCCATGTGTCGATAAAAATGTTCGAAAATCTGAAGATCAGAAAAAGTTTCCTTACAAGGCCAGTATGATCGCTTCCTAAGCGTACTTTAGCAACAGAACAGTATTGGCAATAAACATCATTACAACTTCCTTCCAACAACAATGAAGTCATCCCAAAGACAGGGAATTTTGAAAACATGTCAGTATCCCAGCACAGGCCTTCGTGGTCATGAAAGTCGAGCACTCCCAACTGGTTTCGTAAGAACAGAAGACAGCATGTTGTTTTTCTTTTTGGAAATGTTCAAGCCAAAGAAAGATGTGCCTTCTGCTGCTACGATTTACTGAATTCCTCCGTAATGCACAATACATCCACTGCACGCAAGGCAAAAAGCTTCTCTTAAGGAGTTACCTGTGTACACGAACTGCGTAATTACGTGACGTATACTGTTACTATAGATCACTGAATTATTCCCGCTTTTTATGGAGCCAAAACGTTCATAACTATATTCCCAAGGGACCGACATTGAATAGCATCCTAGTCACTTAAACTAAATTTTCCGTATTCAGCACGCCTTTAAACACGTTATCTTAAATAATTTATACAAGATATATCTCTGAATGAAGTTCTGGTTCTTTAAATACTTTTTCATCTTTACAGACCTTTCCCTTGCTATTCTTAACACAATTCATATAATGTATCATTTAATTCTGAGCGAATATCATTTTCGGTTCGGTTCACATTTCGATTTAATGTCTTTGTCATAAAACATATTCAAAATGTCAATATTAATTATTTCCACACTAGATTACACCTTTCCATCCTGCTCAGTTTTTGGTATGATTTGTCTAATGTTTCAAGATGCGAATGGCCAATTTATTTCAGCCGACCCAGTAACTAAATAGGGCAAGCTACGAAACTAAAACCAACAAAGCTTTCAGATCACAAAACTAGAAAGAGCCGACTCTAAAAACCAATATGCCAGTGGTCCATATTCGTTGGAAATAAAGTTTCCTGCCACTGCGAAGCGGCTGAACTGTGTGGAGGTGTAGCTTACGTGTGTATTTATTAGAGCAAAACGTACGCAAAGGAGGAGAAAAATAAACAGGAAGACGAGACGGCAGTGACTGGGGCTGTCACAACATGGTTCCTCACCTCAGAAACTTTTCAGTCTTTCTTCTATCTTCGTTTCTTGGACACTCGGTAGCGCGCAAGCAGTGGAACAGATTACCTGCTCTTTTGCAACTAATTACAAATTCTCATGTAACAACGACGCATATCCCTTTCCGCGTTTATGACGATTTTACATTTTATTGTATCTCCTCTCAAGACGCGTGGTCCGAAAATAACAGTTTCCGTTCTCTTCCACTGAATAATGGGATGCCATCTTTTCTCTTCTCGTATTGTTATACAATGTTTACGAAACGAAAAAGAACCCGTTGTTATTTCTTCATGAAATAATTAACAATTTAACGGTAGTAGAAAACTAAACCAACCGACAGAAACACCGATTTCCACATTAAAACTTTCTTTATTCCCCAGCTTTCACGATTTCGCCCTCTGGCTTCTTCCAAATTAGAGATAGTTCTACACTACTTAGACACTGGGAAGACTTCCCGGACGAAGGATAAGCCCATCGCAAGCACCTCGCCTACACTGGACAGTCCGCCACGTAAGAAATATGCATTCACTAATGCTTTGAGCGGGATTCGAAACTGCGATCACCGTCCGAGCGGACCAAGATCTTACGCTTCCCACACCTCTCTGTTATTGTGATTGGAAAATTATATCTTCTTCATGTTATTCAGCTTTTACAGATTTGTACTTACGCCCTATCCCAACTCTGAAATACTTCTGAAATCATTCATCCGTTTAGACATTTAGGACTCTTGGACGAGAGAATGTCCCGACTCGAGGCTTCTACCTCCAGAGGAAAGCACAGCGCAGAAATACTTCGGACAAACATTAATGCCTCAAGTGGAAATGGAACCCAGTGTCTCAGTGTCCGAGGTTCGAGCAATGAAGATCGACGTCTTGGACCGCGAGGCCGGTGTAGTCATCAAAACTTCAAAGGATGAAAATCCTTGGGCTCATTTTGGGTTAGCATATCCTGCTATGAATCGAGAAGCAAACGCGGGATTTCCGATCAAAAACAAATTTCTTTACGTTAATTTTTTAAATAACGTTAAATTATTAATTGAAGTCGCTGGAAGTGTTTTGCGCCTAAGGTCATCAACTTTGTTTTAATATTATGTTATCTACATGACCTCACTTCAGTTCCACTTCCTGTCACATATGAGGTAGTCTCCAGACAAAAGAAGCTTGTTTACATGCAGGAATTGGTCTAAGCTTCTTCTCAAGTCTAAAACAGAGTTAAAAGACGCGAGAGAAAGAATGCTTTCCTAATTTTATGTTGGCATGATTTTGTACGCACGCGGAGTTTTCTTTTCTATGCAATTAACAAAGGCTTCTGGCTGCTAGAACATGCGAAACAAAACCGTGTCGAATGACGCCGAGGTTTACGTAACATCCAATCAGAACCTGTAATTCCATCGAGCTGTTAAATCCGATTTCTTTGCGTATTTAGGAAATTATTTTATAAGGAGGAAACTGGTATTTTTAGGTGGCGTAACTGATCAATCAGGATGCTATTTCGAAAATGTTCTGAATCACAAAAAAAAATCGAGTGCAAAACAGATTCTACACATTTTAAATGACTGCTAGCTGCAAGCAGTTCAATATATAGCAACGTTTGTCTGAAACGTAATAAAATTGATTAAGCGGAAACTTATCTTCATCAAAGACGTTTTCTGATCAAGAAAATTTATAATAAAGAACTAATGTGCAAATTATGTCTAACGAACGAAAACTCTTTATTGCTGAAGCGGAAAATAGTTTGTTCGGGCATTTATTGCTTGGTACCACAGCGTATCTCAACTTCAAAACAGCCAGCAGCGAGTTTCATGTTTTTCAACATGACCCCGAGCTCGAAAACAGTTTCACATCTGTGTTCAGCAGCTTCGGTTTTCTTAAAACAGGGAGTAGTCTAAAAATGACGTCGGCTAAACATAGGCCTATGTGTCAGACAGAGCGCCTCACAGATCTGATCTGTTTCTCGATCTCGTGGTAGACTGCGATTAGAGAAATTCATTGCTTACAAATAATCTAAGTGCCCGTTTTCTGTGTCTCCCGAAGATTTATTACTTCCAGCCACTGAACCATATCCCCAATACGATCAATCCAGCGCACACGGTTACATCCAATTTTTTTATGATTCATTTTAATTTATCTTCTCATCTACGACTACGTCTCCCTTAATGTTTCCCGACTAAAATTCTGTATTCATTCTTCATCTCTCCCGTGAATGTTACATGCTCCGCTCACATTCACCTTCCTTTATTTACTCTTCATCAAATACCATCATAGTAACTGTCGACTACAAATAAAAAAATATCCTTCATGAAAATCTCAAAGAACCGCAGAGAGAGAAAGTGATTTCTTGTTTGCCTTGCAAAGCACCAAGTGAATATTTTGTTTTGTGCGACAGATGTGTATGAAGAGTCTCGATAAGCCACATACTTTCTACTTCTTCATTGCGACGCCTTTGCTAATGCACGACATATGATTGTCTAAGCTAGAAAAGTTCGTCATGCAGCTTAAATTGTTAATTTAGAAGCAGAGAAAGGAACAGTCGGTACTGCTGCTTGTTGTATTGCCGGTACGTCACACAGTGTTAAATCTACAGGGCACTTTTCGGAAGGGATCGCCAGCTACGCAGAAGAAAATACGGGAAGTTTCATATTGACTCAAGTCCACATGTAGATCGAGGTGGGGGTGTGAATAAAACATTTTAACATAGGAAAGAATGCTGGAAGTTCTTCCTAGGACTCATTCGGCTTCACATCCCACCGCGACCGACCAGACCAGGCACTTTAGCTCGTTTCAGAAATCACTTCTAAGTGTCTGCTCTCCCGCAGAGCAATTACGCACATCTGTCTCTCAGATCAACAATCTCCTGACGACATCATTTTGAATGAATTATATTTCACCAAAGTCTCTGTGCTCATGACTGAAACAGCTGGTGCCCATGTTGCATTAAAATTTATGTCTCAGGTGTACGAACTGGTGTATCGCGTTCCCTACGTCTAACGGTTCAGGCGGAAGATATTTCTACTTTATTATTTATGCAGACACATTTGTTTCACCATTCGGCGTGGCACATGAGATCTTACGTTGTCACGGCGGTGAAGATGTCCATATTGGTCTTCTGGGTTGTGACGCCGTGTCCTTAACAGGCAAATATCTACATAGCTCCTCAAGATGGTCTATGACCGCTTCCTCCCACATTCCTTCCAATTTACTAACCAGCTGTATCATTCCTTCCATATCTTTCGACTTACATAATCGCCAGCTACCTCCATGGACCATATTCCTTCTTGAAAAACTGACCGGGAAATCCGATGTTTCAACGAAATCTTAAGGTTCATTACCGTGTTCATAACAGTCCGTCACTGAATCATATATCACCTGTCACTTTAATCCAGACAAACACCCTTATATCATTTATCTGTAAGATCCATCTTAATATCCCCCCCCCCCCTGTGCGCCTGATATCCCAAGTCGGCTCTTCCTTCAGGATTTCTGACAACAAATTGATATTTCCTATCTCCCCCGTGGGTACTACATGCCCCCATAGCATCTTCCTTTACAATTGTTTCATTATATACAATATTTCGGTTACAAATTGTTACCGTTGTCGTCCACAATTAAGATATTTATAAGTAACCTCTATTTTAATAATAAAACTGATTTTATTTACAAATCTAATAAAAAAAGTTACAGAGGATTATTTACAACCTTCCTCAGAATGACATGCATATAAAGCGATATTGTTCCCAAGATGGTGTTTTATGTCTTACGGAATATGACGTAAATTAACAGGAGCCTCACTGAGGTATTTTCGAATAATTCCCTTTGTTGGTAGGCCAACTGGCGAAATATTCATTTAAAGATTTTAAAAGCTACATCAGCATAGGCCAAGTTCATGATTTTTGAGATACTGTTTTGTTGTGTTCAACATTTAAATGTAGGCTGATGTCCATAATTTTTGCTTCGTTCTTTCTTTAATTATTATTGTTGAATAATCAGTGTAATCAATAAACAAACGCGAATTAGGCTGACAGTTTCACAAAACGGCATATAATTCCATATTCGGCTACTTCACTGATCATATGGCGTCATTTTGAATGATGCAATTTACAACGCTGAATTTGCTGAGACGTGACCCAGTTCTAAAACAGAAAACACAACACAACAATAAAATGAGCTTAGTGACTGCATACAGACATGATCGCCACAACGCAACGCGGAAGAAACATTTTTTGGATTACGCAACGTCTTGAATAGAAAACAATGTGTTCGGTGTCTGAAATCGTGATTCCTTCATTCTTAACCCACGAAATTAAATCACTGATTAAAATCGGTTAATGTTGATGTTACCGTCATCACAAGATCCCATCCACCATCAAAGTTGTTAAATCCGAATTATGGACCTGAGAGTTGATGACAGTAAAAATGGCAATTGTGGTCTTCTTGGATGTAACGCCTTGTCGTCTTATTTGTGGCTACCAACGTTTCGGAGGAACATCTTTCACGCTGAAAATGGTGATGGCGTTCCTCTGAAACGTATCCTCCTGTTGATACCCGCCACTCAGGTCCCAATATTTCCTTCAGCAAATTATGTTCTCCCTTTAGGGAATTTATCCGCGGACGCCTCATTAACAACAGCGCGGAACACAATTTGGGATCACCGCTTCTTCCTAACCTCGTATAATTTCCCTGTATAACGTTTCTAAACAATGGGAATTTTGCATCACTTCGCGTGCGAGCTTGCCGGCAATCCCTCTGAGACCCGTTATCTCACATCATCGTTGCGTGACATCTAACCCATCCGTGTGCCAGACAGTTCCATGCTGTTTCATTTGTGCACTGTATTATATCGATCAGTTATCAAGAGCATAAAGCCTCTAAATCTTAAAAGAAAAATACGGTTATGACACAGCCTAGAAATGAGGTCAATCGTGAGAAGCAGCGTCCCACGCTGTGACTGACCTATTCACGAACGAACTGACCTCATGGAATCAGCTTTCTGCCGTTTTCTTCAGTTCCTCCAGGAAAACGCCTGGACGGTACATTGATCTGGACCTTTTACTTTCATTATTAATTAATAAACTTATAATTTAACGCTATATAGACTTGTCCAGAGGTTCTGAACGTTTTGTGTCTGGTACCCCCGATAAAGTCAAAGAAATGCCTAGTTCCCTTGCTAAAGAAATTTAGAAATACTGAGAACGGGTGAAAAGTTTATGTTTCCAGGTATAATAGCTTTGCTGAAAGCTTACAATCTCACTTAATTTTTAAATGGTTTGTGACAAAGAATTGTTTAAAGCATTTAATTAATGCTGTGAAGTATATGAACGAGGATATAGTGTATGATACCCCTGGAGAGCATCCCTGGTACCCCAACGTGTACCGTTGCCACAGTTTGAGAACCACTGGTCTAGGCTGAGCTAAACGGCAGCGTGGTTGAGTGTAAAATTAAGATAAAACTTTGAGCTTACTTGTCTTACTAATCTAGCCTGATAAAATGTTCAACGAGTGAAAACAGTGCGAGACTTTCGGATTACGTTTGCAAAAGAAAATCATAGTTAAGTATACAGTATTTGTTTTTAATATATCTACCGACCAGTAATTATTTAACCAGTGTATATTTAAACGCGGTATAGTCTAATTAATGTTCCTGGATTTCTAGACTTTGTGTATCGTCTGAAATTACGAAAAGAACATATTTCAGAAACTGGGTGTATCCGTCTTCAGGTAAAAAGGCGTGAATACATACTCAGTTGGGTACATTACAAAGAGCTAGCTCAATCACTGGACAACACAGTACAGTCCAACAGCTAAAGTGGACATCACATAACTATTCATCCCAGCTGTAGACAAACTCCAAATCATAGTTTCATAATACCTTATCTATCATATAAAGATAAAACTTTTTAATATCTTGCTACGAGAAAGATATAGATAAAACACTGTCCTTAAGAGTACATGAAGATGACTCTTCTGGGATGTACCGTGCAGTCTGGCAGTTTACCGACGTTTCAGAGGTGCTTATTGCTTCCATCGGGGTGACGATGGAGGCAGCAAGCAATTTATAACTTGTGTTGGGCAAGGCCGTGGTCTAGGCAACACGGAGTTTTTCCAGTTTCTCCATGGCATCCCAACTATTACTCCATTCACACACAGAAGAAGGCAATGGCAAACCACTTCTGGATCATCTGCCAAGAACGTATATGAACAGGTCCCAGTCCGAGAAAAGGATGGAAGGATCCTGTTCATATGGACCTGTCGTCAGACAGAACACTAAATAATAATAAATAAATCCTGTAATCTTAACTTGAGGAATCTCCTGCTGTTTACTTTTTCCGTAAGCTTCTTTAGAGCAACAATTGTTCATGTCACATACAGTTTTGCGAAATTAACAACAGCTATTACAGTTTACAATCTGCACATCTGTCTTTTCTATACCAGAGAGATATCTAAATGATTGCGTGTAGATGAAAGACGCGTGTCCTTCGCCTTGTGTCACTTCGTATCTGGTCAGAACAGGGTGAGAGATAACAATGATCACCCAGGAAAGTACGTATTAGGGGCCAAGAGATGAAGTTAACGAACGTTTCAGTCCGAACATGATGAGAAATGTCGTGATTTATTGAGTTCATCGAGAATGTTACGGAAACAAAATCAAGAGGGCCACGATGGGTTGGGCATGTAGCTGGTTTGACACAGAAAACCAAATCTACGAATGAGATGGACGGGCATATAGTACTCATGGGACAGATAACACACATACAGAGAACATTTTAGTCTAAAGACATGTCCGGAAGAGATTGCTTCGATGATCTAGGCATAGATGGGGCAATATTAAAATTTACTCGTAAAAAATATGGTATCAAGATGTGGGCTGATTCACCTGGATAAGGACATTGTTTTCACTACGTCCCGAAATCTTCCATGCTGGTTTCTTCACGCAAGGTCTCTTCACGTCGTGGTGTATTTTGTGCTTATGTTGTGACTATATGTAAAGCTGGTTAGTACACGAATAAACTAGAAAAGGTTAATGATCTATCAACTAACATTATGTCCCTTCATAACAGATATCCCAAATACTTTACTGACTGATAATTGTAGTTCCTTCTTTCTAAAGATGGAAACAATGACAGACTTCAAAAAGCCGTGTGTATTTGTTACCTAGATGATAAATACTGCAAAAATATTACCATGATGGCTCTTTAGATGAAAAATTCAGTAGGTCTACGTATAATAAAACATAACTTGTTTAAATACGTCCAAGAATCTCAAGTCCATAGCACAAATTATGATTGCTGCAAAATAAGAAGAAATTAATTTAATTGCAACATACAGTATATCTCAACGATGTGGATTTTAAAGTCGACAAAATGCCACCTTTCACCGTTTAAAGCTCACTGGTAACTATATATACCGCCTACTTTAATATCCAGTAAGTTAGGAAGGGTACACTTGAGTACACGGACATTTCAAAGGTGTTCTTCACGCCACATCACGTAGGTCATTGTTGAACTAACGCCACCAGAGGTCATTCTTGAGCAACAATGTTTTTCATGGCAATTACCCGAAATTCCTTGCAGATGAACGTGATTTGCTGAATCTCCTTCCTTCCCATAACCAGACATTGTTTTAAAACGTTTGCTTATTTCTACTTTTGAAATTTATCAGACAATGCATATCTATTTGCAATTGTGAGCGTATCTTAACGCACAATCGTGGGCTAGATATTTGGTAGTTTATCGATGAAATTAACTGCAATTCTAATAATCATTGTTAAGTAGGCGTCCTTTGTGTTCCCAATTTTCGTGTTGAATCACCATAACTTTGTGCACACCCCACTTTTCACACATTTTCCACTACTGTGAAATATCCACCTTTTATATAAACATGTTTCGACCAATACTGAGTCATCGTGAGGACTGTAAATTATATGTAAACTACTGCACGTTTTATTGCATTATACATTGCTTTTTGCTGAAACTTTTAAGAAATATACACACGAACACGCAGTCTAACAAAAAAATGGACACTTCACAATAGAGTAAAAACATGTCAGAAGTGGGATATGCATAGTGATAGTGCTAGAACACTTACCTCAACTTTCTGTGAATAATCTTCAGCTATTTTCTCATTTTGCCGGCTGAGCTCCTCATTTTTCTCGAGGAGCGCCTTTCCAAGTTCTGCGGCAAGAATAAGATCCTTTTCTTTCAGCTGAAGTTGAGCGTACACGTCTAGATCCTCGGGATCGGCGGACGGCTCCAGACTACGAGATTCCATCTCGTATATGTAGTCCTCTAGAGCGTACTTAGGTTTCATCCTGTCTCTATGCATCATCACAACACACACCTCTTGACCACCTTCACTTCATTGGAAATAATCATGACATTAGTCAACAACACCATTACGAGTTCTCTGTGCTGCATTATTTGTACCTGAATTTAAACACATTTTCACCTCTAAGCCAATGTTGGTGTTTCCGTACGTTTTCTAGCATAACCAGACGTCCACCACCCTCCACCTACGAACTCCGACTACCGCAGTTTATCTGTGTACCGCAGTCTCACCTGCACCTCTGCGCCTTATACAAGGCGCGCTTTTGGTTCACGACCGTCATTTTTTCAGTTTAGAAATATTTGTGTATTGTTATGCCATCTATGAGACAAATGTGAAATCTCCTGCTTAATCCGATATCTCGACTCTCGTTGTGGGTCGAGAACTCAAAATTGACTTAATAATCGATCCATAATTAAAACATTATCGATTATCAATAAAATCTTCTTGGGCAATCAGTCGCGTTAACTCGTTATCGTAGTAAATCGATATTTTGGGAACAAACTCTGTCTCCATCTTCAGGGTTCCGATGTGACTGGATCCTCGGAAGTCGCCTTTTATTGATTGTACTCACCACGAAAGTCTCAAATCCAATATCGATTATATTACGGCGGTCTGAAATTGTAACCAATCACGGACGGTGATTCCTATCGTAAGGGACCAATAAGAATAGAATTGTTCAAGACGTCAACCAATAACATGTTGTACTTGAAGTCGTACAGTTTATAAAGAGTACTAAGTAATTGTAGTAGTATGCAACGGACAGTAGTTCTGTTTAAATGTTTAGTAAGAGTGTGTTTTAAGTGTAAAGTATTTTTTGTTGTTAGTGCACTTTTTTAAATATTAGTTAAACTTAAGTAAGGTAATCATATCACTGGGAAGACCTAGGGTTAGATAGGAGGATATTATTAAAATGGGTCTTACGGAAACTGGGTGAGACGGTGTGGACCAGATTTATGTTCCTTAGGATAGGGACAAGTGGTGGGCTGTTGTGAACATGGTTCTGTAAAAGGCAGGGAATTTCTTGATTAGCCAAGCAACTATTTTTTTTTCAAGAAGATAGTGTTAAACCCCAGAGTAAAAATTTGGCTGGCATTTGTGTGACACAGGATTTGAAATCCCCTATTCCTGTATGATAAACGTTAAAGCAACAAATGCAGGTTTTATTATTACTCTGTCACTAATAATCACATTAGTGAAATTTACTTGTTTGTTTAGTATTATTTTAAAATTGTGTGCTTAATTTCAGGTTAAGTTATTTGAAACTGAGACTGCTGTTAGAGTTCAAATTTAGGTGACAAAATGGAGCCATCCAAGGAACCTATCTGTGTACGCATTACTCGTCTGAATAACATATTTTTGGGAAGACCAGGTGCTGGAAATGTAAATGCTAAGAAACATTACCTTGGACGGGAAGGATTGATAGATGCTCTCATCCTTCTTTACGATGAATGCAATAATGATGCACTGAAGAAGGACCGGAATATTGCTCTGTTTGTTGAGAAATGTAATCTAATTTTTAACAATTTCTGTATAAAGTAATCTATAATTGTTTCCAGATTGAAAGCTATGCTGATTTTTTTCCACAGATCGTTGCATAGTTTCAGAACTGCGTTGCCTACGAGTAAATATATTGGATTTTGAAGTAAGAAAAGTTATTGGTCGTGGTCATTTTGGGGAAGTTCAAGTAGTACGAGAGAGACAGACTGGAAATGTTTATGCAATGAAGACTCTTCGGAAGTCTGATACTTTAAGTCAGCAAGAAGTGAGTATTATATAGTATAATCTTTTATGCTGTGCCCTCATAGCTGTGAAGTTAAATTTTTCTTCACTTCTTTCCATCTTGGAATAAAAATTTGGGAAAGAAAAATTAACGATTGAATTGGAGTGTATAGTGGTACTTCTTATGCCTTTGTTTATATATCTGACAAGGAAGAGAGTAAAATACAAGCATGAAAATTGTTTGGTGGTGTGTTGCTGTTGTGTTGATATGTTTTGCCATTGAATTACCTGATGCTTCTATCTACCATGAGTCTACTGAAATGAGCTCATATGAAAAGCTGACAACAACATTATGTCATGCCCAAGTTGGGGCCTGTTATGTCTTATGCAGGCAGGGTTAGGGATCATTAATTTTGCAATGCTATAGTAACTTGTGTGCCACCCACCAGCAGAATTGGTTGCTATGAAAGCAGCACTTTGTGTTGCCATAATCTCTTGCAGCTTCGTTACATTTTTTTTAATAAGAAATATTTCCACATACTAGTAAGTTTTCTTTGTTTCTTTGTTTCTTTTCTGTTACACAGTTTCTAGGCTGCATTTTATGAGGAAGAACGAGACATTATGGCTCATGCCTCTTCTCCATGGCTTACCATGCTGCAGTATGCATTTCAAGACATGCATAATCTTTATCTTGTAATGGAATTTCATCCAGGTGGTGATCTGCATGCACTGCTAGATAGATTTGATGGCCTTCTGGCAGAAGATATGGCTAGGTAAGTGCATTAAACATTGTCTTCTTATTTTTGAAGTTATTAAATTATGCCTAATTTAAAACTGTCCGTATACAGTCCTTTTTAATATTACATTTGTTATGCACAATGGCTGCTCTTGGATCTTTAACTGAAAATGTTGGATGGGAAATGGTTCCAACATACAAGAAGGTATGTTCTAGCATTATATTGTGGGCTTACCTAGGAAAATGTATAATTTCTTCATCACACATGATTTTTTATTTTAAGATTTAGTAATAACAATAGTATTTTAAAATTCTTGAGCAGCATGTTTTAATCTATCGTATGTCCATCTTCAGGCTCCTCTCAAGTGTAATTAAGAGATATGAAGACATTGCATTAGTAAAAACTACAAGTCTGAATATGTAAGACTTGAGGTTCTCACAGCGCAATAACCCAGAAGACGGATATCTTCAAGTCTGAATATGGCGATAGGTTAATTAAATTTAATTTATTGTATTATGTAGTGTTCATTATCAGGTTCAAGTAAACATAAATAAAACATGAAAACCTGCATTATCCTTGAAACTAAGAGGGGGAAAGTAACAGAAGGTTGGAGAAAATTGCATAATATGGAGCTTTATCTTTGTCTTCTTTACCAAATATTTTTATGATGATAAGTTTAAGGAAGTTGGTAAGGGTGGCACATGTAGTACACATGGGAAATATTATAAATGGATATGAAAGTTAGTTGTTTAGTTAGAAGGGCTGAAGTGAAGAGACAACCTGGGAGACCTTGCATAACTGAGTATGTGTACTGGATTTATGTGACTCAGGATGAGTCCAGTGATAGATTCTTATGAACATGGTGAATAAACGTTTGTGTTTTATAAGAAGCAAAGTTTTTGACTACCTTAGTGGAAGAACTCTGCTACTTGGGGCTAGTTGACTGTTAATAATACCTAGAATACCTATGATGTTCAACTGTTCTTTATTGCAGGTTTTACTTAGCGGAGCTGGTGCTTTGTGTGCGTAGTCTCCATCTGATGGGATATGTGCACAGGGATATTAAACCTGATAATGTCCTCATAGATCGCTGTGGTCACCTCAAATTAGCAGACTTTGGGTCTGCTGCCAAGTTAACTGCTGCAGGAGTGGTGATGAGTCAGATGCCAGTGGGAACTCCAGAATATATTGCACCTGAAGTAATGGAGTCCATGGAGGCTTCTTTGAGACACACGAGAAAGAAAAACCAGGGTGGTTATGGGGTTAGCTATGTTTATACTATTATATGATGTAGGGCAGCATTTCACAATGAAAGAGCTATGAAGGGATTTGTGTAAAATGCTCCGTGTTCCACTCTGTAAATGTGATTAGTAACCAGATACTGGTGCTTAGAAGCAGTGCTAAGTTTCTCATTAACATTCTGTACATAAGATGAAAATTGTAAGCAAAAGAACGTTTATTATCATAAACTTTCACCAAATGCACATATATTTTTGGAGATCTAGGTATTTTAACTGCTCTCAAAGTCTTTCATAATCCATTTCAAGGAGACAATGTTACAGAAATAATGTTTTAGAACAGAAGTAATGTTATGTTTCTTGCTGTTCACTGTAATTTATGTTGTCTGTAAAATATAGTTTGTATCTGCATTAAATCCACCTTAAAATAGGCCATGATCACTTCCACTATTCTCCAGTTTTATAATTCACAATAACTGCAACAATGATATAAAACAATCAGTCTCTTTTCTGTTACTGTTTGGGGAAGTGAAGATGGAAAGAGTAAACCATCTTATCTTTTAGTTCATTAAAGACAGCTCTGTGAAGATATTCACTGGTACCTATAGGTTAGGAAAGCTAAAAAATGTATTTATATGATAACCATTTGGCTTGCTGGTCCCATTTGCGTGTTACAGATCCTCAAAAAGGGCCTGTATCTGATACAGAAATGGAAAAATGGGCAATTATAGTTCAGTGGAGTAATAAATGTTGAGTTTCATAGTTATTTGGCTAAGCATAAAGTTTCTTTGTTCTCCATTATGCTGTTGAGAAAGTTATGTACACCATGACCATCCGATACTTTACAGGTTGAGTGTGATTATTGGTCGCTGGGTGTTGTTGCCTATGAGATGGTGTTCGGGCAGACTCCATTTTCTGGAGACCAACTGACAGCCACATACTACAATATTATGAATCACAAGTCCAGCTTGCAGTTCCCTGAGAACTATAATACCTCACAGTCATATCTTGACTTGGTTAGAGGTCTCTTGACTGATGCCACTTCACGCCTCGGTCATGAACAGCTACTCAAACATGTGTTTTTTTCTGTTATTGATTGGAACACATTAAGAGAAGGTTAGAATTGCCTAATGTTGAGTTCAGTATTATTGAATAGTCTGATAATATTTGGGCAGTGGCCTTTATAGAGTCCTTTGTTTTTGTCTATCCTTTACTGTACCCTTTTAAATCTCCAGTGTACAACTCAGCTAGACCAAGTTCTTTTTGTAGGTATTTAAATTTATATGCAGACTTTTACAACGGATGCCTAAGCTTATGGCCAGCTAACTGGCTGCAGGTATTTAAAAGGATATTCCTTCCTGTTAGTCTACACATACTTTAAAATCTAATAAACAGAGCACAAGGAATTATCCACATTACCATGTTTTAGTAAATTTAGTGTGATAACTAGGCCTGTTTTAAGGCACTTCTTGATTACAATGAAGTCTATTAATAATTTTGAAACACTGACAAATGAGAATGATATCTTCCTGATTTTCAGCTGTTCCACCTTTTGTTCCTGTTGTCAGAAGCGTAGATGATACTTCAAATTTCGTTGAGTTTGAACATGAACCACCAACTGTGTCCATTGAAAACTTCAAGATTAAGAGGGAATTTTCAGGAAGCAACTTACCTTTCTTGGGCTTTACATATGTTCATGATGTGGATGTGGTTTCTAAGTAAGTACGTTTAAAGGTGAAGCACATGGCTGGATCCTTGGTTTTCTTTATATAGAAATATTTGTAAGATAGCAGTTCTATTGTAATTACCTTATCATTCATAGATGATCTCTTATAACAGGATATTTTGAAAACTAGTGCATTGACTTATCTGGGTACATTGGAGTAGCATAGTTCATTCCATCCAAGTACTGTCGAATCATTGAGCCTCTTTATCTGTTCATATATTATATGATCCAGAATTTGGCGTGTGATTATTGCCTTTTAACACTATTATTTCTATGTTATTTTTGTAGATTCAAAGATGGAACAAGTATGCCTCCCAAGATGAAGAATGATCTTGAAGATTGTCTGTCCAGTTACAAGAAAGAGATAGAGAACTTAAAGAGAAGAAATCATCAGTTGGGGCATGGATTTGAGGAGAGGTAAGTGAAACAGTTGTATAACATGTTTTACATTATGATTATAAATAAAATTAATGTTAAAATCGTATAGAGTCAACTGTAATTCAGAGGTATGTATTTCAACTACGGTAGTGTACACAACCAATTTAAATTTTAATTTTCTTGCATATATTTATTTAATATTTTTGTTTTTATTGTTTATCAGTGGCTCTGCCTGTGCTTGCTTTGCTTGTTTTTCCCATCTGGGTGTTCCCATGACTGCCTCCTTCCAAATCTTTACTGTCATTTGCAATCATCTTTTTGTCTATTTCAGCACTGTGTAACATTTGCAGTTGAAAAGTATCATTATATAACTGAAGGAAATCCATTTTAAATCAAGAATCCATTGGTTTCAAACGTAGGTTACAAAGTAATGGTTTTATGTGGAGGAGGGGTAATGCTGAGAAGCCTGAGGCTTTGGCTGCTTTGGTGGTTGATTCAGGCTTGCAGAAAAAAATAATCTGAAAACTGCTCCAGCAGAGAAATAAGGAACTTATAATCCTTACAAGGCTGCAAATATCCCAGTATGCCAAATGCAAAATATCAGCAAGCTTGAGCTACATCACATTAAGAGGGGAAGGGGAAATAAGGCACCTTATATTTTATTGCTTCCCCTCCCTACCCATACCTCAGCTGACTGGCCATCAATGTGTGTATTTATAACATTCAGTGAATCTTGAAAATATCTTGTGAAAAGTTTATTATTTGGTTTTATTTGTAGTGTCCTGTATTCATGTACATTTTCAGGAACAGAGAGATAGATGTCCTGGAGAAGAAACTTGAGCAGCAGTGCAATCAGTTAGAAACTACAAATGCAGATAAAGAAAATCTAGAACGTGAATGTGAACGATTAAAGAATGAATGCATGGTATGTGTAGTAGAGAAGAATATTTAGTTGTAATTAATATGAAATTAGGCACTGAGAACACTTTCCCAGAAAGTAATATGGTCAGAGAATGTGAAATTACAGAATACATAGATCTTTATCTTCATGTTACCTGTATTCACAGAGGCAACGTTGTCTTTGTTTGGATTGAATGGTACAGTAAAATTACATTATCATTTGGTTTGTTAATAACAGTTTTAAAAATAATGTGCAATATAATTTGTTTTATGCAGTTGCATAGTCAGAGGTGGTATGAGCAACCCTTCTGTTCTGGGAATGTAAAAAAAGCAATTGTATTATCAGTTTTACATATGGTCATTATTATGTTGATATAATTCTCAAAACCGATTTTTTGTTTATGTTCACAGCAGTATTTTATTTTTTAAGTTATTAAATTTGTATTTCAATTGCGTCATGTTTGTGTTGATTCGAATATACATATTTATTTTGGCCGTCTATACACAAACTTATTAAAATGAGTTGTTAAAATATTATAACATTCACAATATAAATATAAAATATATAAAATACTTTATGTTTTTTTTTTGCTCTTTTTATCGTATTACGATATTACATTCCATTTTGGCACCTTCATATTAGAAACGACATGTTTCGATGTACTAAGAATGTAATATTGTAATACGATAAAAAGAGCACCAAAACATAACATAATGTATTTTATATATTTTATATTTATATTGTGAATGTTATAATATTTTAACAACTCATTTTAATAAGTTTGTGTATAGACGGCCAAAATAAATATGTATATTATTAAATTTGTAGCTGGAATTGTCAGGCTAAAGAAGCAGTAGTAAATTTCAAAGTGTGATAAAGTAAACTATGATAATTTTCTCCTGCAAGCAAGCTTGTACAAATCAAACTTACTTGGGGTGTATGTGTGTGTGCATTACACTGAGTCTTGTTTTTTAATGTTCCTTATTAGAATGTATTTTTTTCCTATGATAGTGTTACTTGTGAAATGGACACTGTATTGAAGTTTTATTTAGAGTATATTGCGGACCCTGGAGAAGGAGCGCAAGGATCGCCAGATGATTGAGATGAAGGCAGTTGGACTGGTCCGTAATAACAAGAACAGTTGGGAGAAGAAACACAGACAGGAAGTAGCATCTCTGGAGAAGCAGGTGGAAGTATGTGTAATAGTGTTTTGATGTGAAATTTACAACAATGTTACAGTAATAGGCGGATAGCAGTTTCTGCTGTACAACTCATTTCTTACATTTTGAGCCTTTAACATTAACCCATAAGGAATGGTCGAGTTGTACTTTTACATACATTTATAACCGCCAAATTTTTAGATTAGTGATGTCTAACTGCCACATTTAAAACGAGTGTTCAGTTTTTTTTCTATAACAGTCAGCTATGTTTGACTGGAGTGATCACTTTGTTGAAAATCCTCCCTTTCAATTTTTATCTCCTTAGTTAAGTTCACAGAGGACATACTATCTTGTGCTGTCATCTGTATCTTTTAGATCTTACTCTAATAAGTGTTCTTAGCATACTACCATCCAGCTTGGCTTGTAACTGTTTTTCTGTAGTCTTTCTGCAATGTATACTTATTTCTCAAAGAGCACTTTATAGCATGAATTAAGTATTTATGTCCTAATTATGAAATCAAGTTATAACTTCTTTTTTCATGTCTGTATTACATGGTTCATAAACAGGCCAGACCACTTGGTTGTCAAGAGATGTTTGTCATTTTGTTGTGTATACTGGAAGCATAGAAGCAGAATAGTTTGACATTAAAACTGTTGGTACTAGTCACAAGAAATTTTGTTTTGCAATTCAGCAAAAATGTAACTATTTTACAAATTTCGTCCCTTGTCTTGATGAAATATAAATGGTAATGTGAAACAATTAAAAATATAGTTTCAGAAAGGACATGGAATATTTATTTAAAAAGTAAAGTAAAGTTTGTTTGTTTAAAATAATAATATTTTTGAGAAGATGGATATTTGGTATGCAATGTTTTAATAAGCCACTTCTTAATTTGGGTGTTTGCAGAATCAAACACAGCGCATCACTGAGCTATGCATGATCAACAACACATTGAGTAGCAAAGTGGAGCGACAGACAGAAGAACTCAAATCAAGTCATTCTGAAATTGAGATGCTGCAAGCATTGGTCCAGGAGAACCATAATAAGATGGCAAAGGCTCGTGAGATGAATAGGCGTAGTGTAGTGGGTGTTGAGACCAAGCTAGAACGTATTGCTGCTGACAGTCAGAGCCAAGTGGCTACTCTACAATCCCAGTTAGCTGATGAAGCCAAGCTGCGGTCAGAACTGCAGGAACAGTTACGGAAATTTCAAGGAAATGTTGCCCAGAAGGAGGCTCAGGTAAAGAGCTTTACATATTTAAGTGGACTTTTTCTTGATAATAAAAATGCTAAGTTTATACATAATTAATTGAATCACTTGAATGTGATAATGAACAAATTTAATCAATGACTTGCCTTTATTACAAAAAGAAAGTTAATACAAACTTTCTAAAGCCGTGAAAGTTTGTTGCTCAGAGTGTAGGTTTACATTTAAATCCTCATTGCAGTGAGTTTGTTAATACCAAGAACTGATCCACAAGAGAGTGGGTTTAAGTCCCAGAAGGTATTTCAGTGACTAGCCATGGTGATTTCAGTGTCCAGTATATGAGTATGAAGTATTTCTTTATTGCAAACTATTTTTTTAGCTTTTGTCCTTACAAGAGCAAGAATCGTCCCAAGTAGCTGAATTGAGAGCTGAATTAGAGTCAAGCCAGCAGCAGTGTGTTGAGCTGCTGCAGCAGGTGCAGGTCCTGCAGGAACAAGCTGATAGTGCATTTAAAAATCTGGAGAGCAGCAACAAGGCTCTTATTTGTGAGCTGGAAGAGAAGTTACGCAGAGAAAAACAGGACTGTCAAGAGTTGAGAAAACGGTTAATGGTGAGTGTATCAACTGGGGAACTCCATACATTATTGTTTATATTAAGAAAGGTCACTCAGAGGAAATTTTGTAGCTTCATGTTTAACAGTGAAATGCAGAGATGTGATAGTACTGGTGGAAGACTGTGGACTTTCATTATGAGGGTTTTTGGTTTGGTCTCACTGACATCTGGCTGCACACATTGAAGTCTTCATCAGTTACAAGGCATAGGACAGAAGACGCTGAGCTGTCAGTATGTTTCAGAGACCAGATTAAACTGTAGTTTCCCTCATTCAGCCATCTTTTTTTGGTGTAGTCAAATTTATCTCTGAAGTGCATTCTTCATCTTGCCAGAGAAAGTAGAGGATAAAAAGTGGTACAACTGTAACAGGAGACATTTGTTTGAAAAACAAGTCATTACATTGAACTTGTGCAGAACTTAAGCTTGTATTTGTAAATATTAAAATATCTGGCAGGTCTTAAAGAATACATTGGCATGAATGAATAATTTATTTTCATGAAACATTTCACCCTAAGCAGCTTGCCAATATTGCATTTGGCAGGTCAAATAAATTATCATCCTTATTTCAGTTCAAACTAATTTGAAGTGTAAATATTATGAGAGTTGTTGAATATGAAAGAAATATACCTAAATTATCAAAGGTTTATTTTTAAGCTGGGAGGAAATGATTTAATATGTGAAAATTGAATTTAACTCCTTAATCCTGTCACAGCAGGTGGAAGGTGAACTTAATGAGTCGCTAGTGTCACAGAAGAACATATTAGCTGCTCGGGAAGTAGAACATGAGACATATGTGACCATATTGGAAACAGATCTTAAACAAACTGCTGCTGACAAAGTGAAACTGCATCATAGACTTCAGCAGGCTTTAAAAAAAGAAGGTATAGTTCACATCATATTCACAGTGTATTCTCAATAAAGATTATCTGCCTCACCCAACTTGAAGGAGAGCATATAATACCAAATTTGGTTTCATAAAGTGAAAAAATTAATTTTGAACAAACTTTGAAAAATATGTAGGAACATCATGAAAGTCATGAAACAGAAGTTAATCCTGATAAATATTTGCATTTTTTACATGAGCAACTTCCTGATAATGGCCATATGGAAGTTTTAGATGGGATAGACTCAGCATCAATATCATATGGATAGCATATGTGCTTTGTATGTAGAAAGTTTCAAGTTAGAATTAGAGCCGAGTGGTTATCCATCCAGATACTGTTTCTAATGGTTGTCTTTAATCCCTCCAAACAAATAGAATAGGACCTTTCATGACTGCCTATTTCCACACCCATTAGGAATTATTCACTCACAGTCATCCCACCATTTGATGCTACAATGAAAATTTCATAAAGTTGAAATATGTGTTACAATGACACCCAATGTACAGATATTTAACTTGTTTACAGAGGAAGACAACCACAGGCTGGAAACTCTGGAGGAACTATTGAAACGCCTGGAGCAGCGTCTCACACATCTGGAGGAAGAGAATCTTACATTAAAACGACAGAGCAAATCAGAAGATGTCAAGAATCCCAGTAACCTTATGGAAGAACTCGAGAAACAGAAACTGATTCTGGTGGCTCAGGTGGAGAAGTTAGAATTGCAGGTAGAGAAATTAAGAGAGGCATCAATTCTTGATAAGCAGGCTGCCAAAACAGCACAGGATCAGCTGTGGAAGGTATGAAATCTTTTTATTTTTAATTAGTTGACACTTGCTGTATTTTATAAGAAGTCTGTTATATTGCCAATTTTACCTGAAGCATCTTGAACTATTCCATTGTAGGTTTTAAGTTTAACTATGTGAGTTTAAAGGAAGGGCAGCCTGAGAAATTTGTAACAGAAAAAGGATTAACATTTTTGCGGTAGAGGTTGCGCTTGTGTAGCAAAATACGTTAATTTATTTCCATGATTTTGTTTATTTATGGTTTAATTATCTTTGCTCCAGAAAGAAAGGGCGTTGTCTGATGCAGAGATAGATCGGCGCATTGCTCAACGTGAAGCAAAGACTGCGGAAGATCAGTTGAGAGTACTGCAAGAGGAGAAGCAGAAATGGGGAGAGAAACTGCAGATAGAGAAGAATACTTATGTTGAGCAGCTGCAAGGAGAACGTAACAAGGTTGATGAACTGCAACAGCAGCTTACATCTTTAAATACAGAATTGCAGGACATGAAGCAAAGAGAGGAAGCAGCAAAAAAACAAATTGATGTAAGTAACTGCAAGAATCAGAGTCCTTGAGAATTTAAAAGTGTGCTCAGACAGTCAAATTCTTTGCTTTTTATGCCTGAAGTTTATTACCATGTTTACAAGAGTCAGCCACAAATTTGTAGCCAGAGCCAGATGAATCCAGTCCATTCTCTTCAACCGTGTTATACAAAGATGCATTTTAATATTCTACTATATATTTCTAGGTCTTTTGAATTGTCTCTTCCATTCAGGTTTCCTGACCAAAATTTTGTTGCATACCTCATTGCCACATGCATGCTACATTCCCTGCCTATCTCAGATGTAAGTTGTAAAATGGGTTTATTTGCAGACTATTTTTTGTATACTTCAGTTCAGCACAATTGTATTTGGATCAATACCAGCCAGGTCCTATGTGGACTTTGTGTACACCTTTTCCATTTCACAATCTGACAAAGTCAAAACTTTGTAAATGTGGGGAACATTATCCCCCATTCTTGGTTGAGACTTTGTTAATGTGTATGTCAACTTTGCCAGCAACCAACCTTTCATTTTCCAAAAGTTTGAGACAATAGTTGATTCATTATATGAATATAATGTTGTACATTGTGCATTGCCTGAGGTATGTTTGATATACGTGATATTTTGGGTGTTTTCTCTACTTTTGTTTTCAGACAATTAGTTGTTATTATTTTGACAGACTTGTTTTAATTTTTTTATCATTTTGATACTAGTAGTGCAGTTGTGATCAGACTTTGGACATTTTGAATACTAAGCTAGTCAATCATCTTCTCTGTCGCTCTGCCACTAGGAGTACATGAAAACATGGAAACTGTGAAAAGTAATTACACTTAAAGAAAGAAACAACAAAATTAGACTTATTTTCCTAACAGTAGTATAATAAGTAGAAAATATCTTCTTCTTTTTTTTCAGTTTCCCTCTCTATTTCTTGCTTGTGTAAGTCTACTTTGTTTGTTTATAATTCTTATCCAGGCAGAGAAAGTAATGCTTGCCCAGAAGAAAATGGAACTAGAAGCCAGCAAATCTTCTGCCCAAACATTACAGCATGATCTGAACATGGCCTACAAACAGATTAAGGTTCTGGAGCAGCAGGTGTTAAATTTGCAGCTGGAAACTAAACGTTTGAGTGAAGTAGTAAATCATATTCGTGAGGACAAGGTGAAGTTAGAAGCTGAGTTAGAGGATCAGAAGAGAAATAACAGCAGTTTGGAGATGGCAAGTGATTCACTGTAATTAAAATAGAAAAATTGTGTTTTCTACACTGAGGGCTTTGAAAGTCAAAGAAAGAAAGAAGTTCAAGAAATAATGATACTGAAATTTTTTATTTTTCTATTTTTTGTATATGTAATGTTAGTGCAAAGGGTTAAGTTATATTATCTGTGTAGATATGTGAACAGACATTATATATGTATAATTATTTTTTGAGAAAATTTACACTACCTGTAACTCATCAGAAGCAACCACAATTTTTCATGTCATTATGTTTGTAATTTTTAACTCTGAAAAGGGATGAAGACTAATTTATAATAAATATAGAAAACAATATTCAGGTCTGTATTGATAACACATTATACATATAATTTATAAGCAGGTAATTTTAGTTGATGCCTGTGAATGTTAGTTTTGTTCTATTCTAGAATAACAACTGCCTCAAGGATTTGTGTACAATGCATGATGATGAGCTGGAAGATTTTGTTAAGCTTACAAAGTCTTATGAGGAGAAGATGGCTGTACTGAAACAGGAAAAGTAAGTTTCTTGTTCTGTCACAGCAAATGCTTTACTTTCAGTTACATGGTGTTTGGCATTGCAAATGATTTTAATGTACTTGAAAACTAGCATGCAAAGAAGACAAATAATTTCTTGTTCAATAGCTGGAAAACACAGAATGTCATGGCCAAGTGATTATTAGCACATCTCTTTTATATTCTGGATGACCAGGTTCAAATCTTGGACTAGATTCGATGGGATTATAATGTTATGGTGAGATGACTTGTATCATGCCTGAAAGAAGCCAGACATATGCATGAAACTTAGGGATATTGTATAGAAAGAGTTTGTCTGAGATACTTAAGCATAGTTAGGAGGATAATATATAAATACATCTTAGCAACTATGATACGTTATCAGTATACAAATCTTAAATTTAATTATAGATATTAAAACTAAAGTGAGAATGTACATTTTGAAGTTTATGGACAGAATATTTACTGTATTTTCTGTTTACATTGATAACACCAGTTCACCCATAACTGGAGAATATAATTGATTGATACAGTGAAGTATGGAATTTACAGGGAATCTTTCCAGTCAGAAATAGAGACCTTACAGTCTGAGCTTCAGGCAGCTTGCCAGTGTACAAATGAAGAAAAGTCCCTGCGTAACTGTGCAGAATTACGAATCCAAACTATGGAAGCAGATCTGCAATCCCACATGGATGATTTGGAAATGCTGCAATCCCAAGTAAATGCTTATCAGAATTTAGCTGAGCAGCGCGCACAACAGGTTAGTGCAGGGGAATGAAGAAGCCACTTTAGATCAAATATTTTGTATCACATTTAAATGATCATCTGTTATGTGTCTGTTGTTAGGTGACAGAACTTGAAGATAGGTGCTGTGCAGCTGAATTAGACCTGCGTAATATTCAGCGCCAACTACAAGCATCTAATGATGGATGCAATGCTCTCAAAGAAGAACTCACACAAAAACTCACACTGATTAACTCTGTGAAGGAATCTAATTTCAAGCTTAATCAGGATCTTGAAGAATCGAGTGACCAGATCCAACAACTAAAAAATAAGTATGTTTTTCTTTGTTTTTAAAATTAAGTCTTTTGTATGGTCTGTGCAGGTAAATATTTGTTTGATACATATCCTGCCCAAAATGGTCTGAAACAAGGAGAGTATTTTGCTTATGTTTTCCTTATTGTTTCTGCCTCATTTCATTTGTCTATGTTTTACAGATACTCTGATCTGGAGGCTACATTGACAGAGCTGGAAGTATACTATAAGCAATGTGAATTCAAGAGTGAAGCTACAATTCAACAGCAAACAAAACTTATCGAATACTTACAAAAGAGGATAGAAGATGGAGACAAGAAAAAGAAGGTACTTATAAACTCTGGTAGTCTTTGTTCAGAACCTCTTTTTGCCATGTCTGTTGATACACAAGTTAAATCCAGTTTAATGCCAATAGACAGTAGTACTGTATTTCCTGGTATAAAGAAGCAGTACTTTTTCTAAAGAATTGCCCTAAAAATTGCAGCATCTCTAATGCACCAGTGGATCTTATACATAGAGAAGTAACAATGAAAATGAGGTAAATATTATAACCATAGCTAACATTTCCTTTTTTCCTTGGACATTGCTCCTAGATTAAAATTTGTGTTTTCCTTTTTATATTTACAATTTTCCCTCAATCAGTGGTTTAAAAATACTTATCTATATTTAATTTTGTTTTCTTCATTAAATAGGCTACAGTTGTTTACTTTCTTTATTCTTAATTAAATCATTTTGTTATAATTATTTAATAAATAATAAATGTTGTTTAATAAACAGAAAAAGTACAAAAAATCCTGAGTATTATTTTCTGCTTTTTGTAGACACTGACAGACAAGTTATTTGGTAGTCGGCAAAAGGAGAATATTTCACATTTATCTAATGCACCATCAGGCAGAAGCAGGCACATTGCTAGTCAGCATTACCAGCAAAGAAACAAGGCCAAGTCTTTTGGAGAGCACATGGTACCGCAGCAAACACATGGCAGAGGTATAGCTCTATATAAGAATCTATTTCATTATATTAGGTATTGTTATTTTTATTCCTCATGTTCCACTGACTTTCATAATAGAACCTTAAGAGTTTAACACCACCAATACCAATCTGCCGTTGGTCCAAATTATGAACCAATTCAGTTTATATCACATCTGTATGACCAAAATCTGTTTTTTCCATCCTCTCATCTCTCTTTCAGTCTTCAAAGTTCTTAAGATATTTCTACATGAAACTTCTGTATATATTTTTTGTTTACACTATCTCTGCTGCATGTCCATTTCATCATACCATTTTCATTGGACATTACTAGCTAAACTGTAAATCATGCAATTTGATTGTCATGCTCTACTTAGACATAAAAAAATTGTGACCAAGCTTTTAACATAGTGTTATTTGTGATCAACTGGAACTGCTAGTTTCTGTTTTATTTCAACAAATTGTATTATATTCTATTGTAATGTCTTATATGTACATTTTTCTGACAATTTGGCACTTTGAAATATAAAAGGATAATTAATTAAGGTGTAAATGTTGACTGTGGTCTTCTGGGTTGTGATGTGATCTTGTAGGTGATTACCACAGTTTTGCAGGAATGTTTCACCTCCATCTCTAGGGTCAAGTCCCAACAATGGAGGTGATACTGTCCTTCAAAGCACTGGTAACCACCTACAGACTGCATGGCATTATAACCCCAAATACCACATCAACATCTTCACTGCCATGAGAACCTCAGATCTCACATAGGATGTCAATTCCTTTAAAGTTTCATGCATTTCTAATGAAATACTTTGTAGACTGTACTGTTTATTCATCTTTTATGGAGCAGATGCTGATGGTGGAGGGATCTCTCCTTTAACTGCAATGACACCCATCACACCACAGTCAAAGAAGGCACTGATGCATCTTGTAGAGTCGCCTGGTTCCCAGTCACCAGGCTCTTTGGCTCGACAGCCATCACTTCAACGCATGCATTATAACATTCCACACAGGTATGCTAGCACTACATGATATGTTGTTCAACAGGAAATATTTTTTGAAAATAGTGAATTGCATTGATGTAATGTTTGCAGGTTTCACCAGAAGCTATGTATGCGTGTTATCAAGTGTGCTGCTTGTCTGGATAGTATTCTGTTTGGTCATTATGCTTCTGTCTGTCAGGAATGTAACATCACTTGTCATCCTAAGGTAAGTAAAATTCACTGCTAAATTAATATATAAATCAGTAAATACCAGTTGAATCACATGTGTCAGGAATATATCTTGTATTAAAGAACCTATTCCTATACATTTGTTTTAGTTTCAGGTTAATTTTTAGCCCATATACTTCAGTGTGGATCTGAATATTTTATTTAGATTTTATTAAGACATTACATTTTATTGAAATATTAAGCATACACTTTTCTCTGGTGCAAGTTTGAAGTTGTATGTAAAATGATAGCATGATTAAAAAGTGTCATTTTGATCTAGAATTTTAGTATGCATTTCCAATATTGCATTTAGTCCTAATCTGCTGATAAGTGATTTAGAACCTTTTCAGTGTCACAGATTTGGATTTTCACATAAAGTAGTAGTCTATATTGACAGCAGTTGACCAGAATTAATGTCATAAATACACTTTAATAAAGTCAACCATTATTGAGTTTTATGAAGATTTTCTTTATTCACTGTAAATTTTGTATCATATTTGCAAAATATAGTCATAATAGGCACATTTATTCAAAATTAAAACTTGTAACAAATCAGATTTCTTTCACATCCCTAATATATATCACTTTATTACAACTGTCTTGTTAATATTCTTCTAGTGTTCACTGGTTCTGCCATCAACATGTGGTATACCATCAGGGTTTGCAAGGCACTTTTGTCAGTCCTGGAAGAGCCACCAAGTGGACAGTGGGTCAAACATCAGCAGCAAGAGTACTGAATTAAAAGCACAGTCCTCTAAATTGGAAGGCTATGTTAAGATTCCCAAGTATGTTTATCATAGGCAGTAGCTCTAATAGCGTGTACTTCATTTGAATTACTTTTTTAATCATGCATACAGTACTCATTGTGTTGCAATTTTTAGTTTAGACTAGACTAGACCTTCAAATAATAGAAGATCTTGAGGCACTGTTTAAAGTCTCCAACTATTATGACTTTAGTTTTAGTTACTTCTGACTTGTAGAAAGTTACTGAGAATTTTTGGCATTTGAAACTTTCTTGTATCAATTTTTGGAATTTTAATAGTCATTCAATCTTTTTGGTTGCATTCAAGTACAGGCATATTAAATCTGATGTTTTTAACATACTTTTGTTACAAGTAGGTAATAGATTCTACATCTGGAATTATCTTTAAACAATAGTTTATACCTTCTAGTTTGCACAAGTTTAGATTTTCCTTCTGTATGTTGTTTATGCAGACGAGGCAGGTCATGTTGGGAGCGTAAATATCTGAGATTGGAAGGAAGTGAACTGCAGATATTTGACCATGAACCTACAAGTGAAAAAATGTCCCCATCACAGACATTCCTTGTGTGTCGACCAGAGGGCACAACTAGTATTTTGAGCTCTGTGCCCTATACAGAAGTTGTAAACACAGCACAATCTGACATGCCATTCATTCTTAAGGTGAGCGACAGCTGATACAGAACCATCTTACAACTCACTATGAATCCCTGTGTAATAATCTTTACCCCAGTTTCAGTTTATACACAGGATGATGCAAAAGTAGCACAACAGTTTAAAGTCAGGTTTTGAGTTGCCATGGCAAGTGGTTTTGTGTGTGTGTGTGTGTTTGTCGGCAAAGCCGTTAGCCCGTGATTAAGCATTATTTTTACCTTAGTTGCCTGTAGAGAACCCTGATTGAATATTAGTTGATGCCAGTTTTAGAACACAAACCTGAAGAAAGCCACTTACCATGGCAACTCACAACCTTAGTTAAAATTGTAGTGTTACTTTTCTGCCACCATATATAGTAGTAAAGTATGTTCTGTTTGTTATCAGATTGAGGTGAATTCACGAACTACCTGCTGGCCGAGTAGCAGCCTGCTTATCATGGCACTCAGTTTAGCAGAAAAAGAATCCTGGGTGTCTGTACTGGAGTCTATTGTTCAAGGTCACAACAGCAATAGAATGGAAGTTGATAATGGACAACCTATGAGATATAAGGTCAACACGGTGCTCCATCTTGATCGGGATGAAGGGCTGGACCTTAACTGTTGCCTTCAGCTCAGTCCAGAGGTACAGTTCTGTTTGTGAGTTTTGTTTCCAGTGGCACACATAGTAAATTTTAATCTTTGTAGATAGAAGCTGAAGCAGCAAAAGGAATTGGACTTCAGTTAAGGATATTTTCATGGATAAATTGATTTGTTACAAGTAGACATGATAGCTTTAAACTATCTTGTTAAAATAAACATATGTAATAAAAGTCTGTTATTAAGGAAAACTGTGCTGGAAAAATAATCAAACCAATTTCAACCAATGCATCAACATCTACAACAGGTTTAGCTGCAATAATTTAATATTGCCATCGATTTTGTCATTCTGTGAACGTAGGGATTTATGTGTAATAGTCAGGGTTACTTTCTTAGTGGACCTTTTTGTTTGATATTATACATGTGAAGGTAGTGGACAGAAAACTATTGAAATTTACAACATAATAATCACATAACTGACGATAAACTTCTTGTTTTAGAATATGTATTAATCTGATTTCCTATGTTATAGGTTATGTTGATTGGAGCAGAGGAGGGCCTTTTTTCTTTACATTTGAAACAGAAAAATGCAAAGCCTGTCAAGATACTGGGCTTGACACATGTCCACCAGATGTCAGTGTTACCTCTTCTCAATTGCCTAATTGTGTTGGCAGGTGTGGGATAACTCTGTTGTATTATGTGGTTTAGTTTCCAAAATTTATATTCATTTTTATTATGATAAATATTTTGAATTGCCATTTAATTGCCCTGAACATTTTGTTATAATAATTTGTCATGTGAAAGGTTGTTGAATCAGTGTTAGTATTTATAGAATTAGAGTAATTACAGACGTTTATTTGTAGCTAGTTGTTTGTATTCCCCAAGGAGAAGGCCGAAATCTGATGCAGTGTGACTTACGTCAAGTGAGAATCAATGCAGAGGCAGCAGAATGTGTTGAGCCAGGTGTCACTGCACATCCTCTCCTACCAGCTACTGGACCCAATAGTATAGGATGTTGCCTTTTGTTTGCTGCAGCCACAACTGAGGACAGGCAAGAGCAAACACGTACCATAATTTGTGCTGCCACTGAGAAACGCATCTTGTAAGTTTGTAGTCGCATATATACTTGAGGATAAATTTTAGATCCAGCACATACCTATACATTACTCCTTGTCTTACAAAATGGATGAATTCCTTGATGGTCATTTGTTAAATAAACATTTAATAAATAATAATGATTTTTCTGTAATTTTAAAGGAAAAAAGGCATACAGTGTCCTGACATAATATATACAAATGGATCTTACAGAAACAGTTCAATTCAGTTCAAATCATCATGAACTGTATCTGTCTCATTTGCTTTTGTTATTAACTGTTGGTTGTCTTGGTATGCTTTTGTTAACAAGGAACAATAATGAACTTTCAGGTTAGATTTAAATTAAAAATTCTTTATCAACTGCTGAAAGAACACTGCACAATGGATTTAGTTTGTGATTCAGATCTCTAAATGTCTATAGAGACACAGTCTCACCCCTGTTTTTGTTGATACTAATACAATAATTCTGTATTTATTATTGATCCAAGAATTTTTTAACTGCACTTGTACTTCTTGTGTGCGGTCAGGTCTTTTCTTCATACAATAATATGTACTAAATGTGTTAACCATGTGTTTAGTTTGTTAACAGAACTGTGATTAGACTTGTAATAAGTAGTACTTAGGTTTACATGTACAGTAGAACCTCGATATAACACAGGTTTCAGAGGACAGCTTCAGTACCCATGTTGTATGTGAAATTGACACGTATCTAATTTTGGAATCTCTGATATGTATATTTATCCAGTGACTAAAATACATGAAATTTAAGGTACATTTCAAACTTATGTTTCACCAATGCTACTGGCACAGACCACTCTAAATTACTTAAATTTATGCCTCCTTACGAAAATAGTCATGTAGTATAGTTTGTTGGAACTGATGACTATGTTTTTTTAGCGCATATTGCTTAATACTAACCAGATGCAGCAAATTAAGATATTTATTATCAGTCTGTCATTCTAACGATGCTATCACTTCATTCATATTTTCTAACACTTTTCTCAATTTTGGTACCAATGCTTCACAGGAATCATCACTATTGTTTCCTGACTCATTGGCTCAAAGTTTGTCATTTGTCTTCCCATTTTTCACAGAAACTGCAATATCCTCTTCAGTAAGATTTCTGACCATCAGTATTCAAGCGGGTAAAAGAATTAGCATCAGAACATTGCACCTCTTCCTTTCTCAACCAAAAGTGGTGCTCACTAAATTTTGCTGTTTGAACAAAATAACCCCAAGGTTAGAGAAACCAGAAACATAACTATTCATAGCGGACTATTGACTTTACCCTCTGTACCCACACACTACAACAAGGAATGTTGCAATATAGTCTTATAATCTAACCAAAACATTTAATAGAAATTTGTACAATGTAAAACATATGTAATCGTATTGGGGACATGATCACAGCCGCAGTATATCCGAGTCCACGTTATAACAAGGTGTGGTATATTGAGGTTCCGCTGTATTTTTCAAAGCAAACAAATGTTTAAAATGTGTAATAATGTTTGCAGGTTGCTGCGGTGGAATGTGTCTCAAAATACATTTCAGCTCTCTAAAGTTGTGGACACAGAAGAATCTTGTAGCTGCATTCATTTTGCTCGTCATTCCATAATTGTGGGTTGCAACAAATTCTTTGAGATAGATATCCATGACTTTTCAGTGGAAGGTATGAACAGCTGCTGCCTTAAGTGCTCAGAGAACTGAGTCAATGCTCTGTCTTAAAAACTGTGTAAAATGAACTAACAACTATGCAACAGCATTAAATTGTGTGGCTGAGACAAATATGCTTTTATAAATTTTTGTTTCTGAAAATAAGTTTTGCCATCATTTCCCTTTTTTTCATTTACCTTTAAACCATAAAATTATAGATTGTCTTACATTGATGTGTACAGTGAAACCTCTATCCATCGTTCCCGGAACTATCGTTTTCCCGGATGCATCGTCCGTTTTGTTCGGTCCCGAATACATCCCATAAAAAATAATGTTACATTTTCCCGCTTCTATCGTTCCTCGAACTATCGTTTTATCGCATCGATCGTTCAAAAATCTTAGTCCCGGCCCACAATTTTCCCGCAATGATCGTTTCTGAGAATTTAAAATGCTGGGTTTTGAGATAAATTAATACCGAAAGACGCACAATGTTTTTGGAATACACAGCGGTAACCTGTTATGTCGCCCAACCAGCACATTCTTTTGGAATGAGGGTCAGCGGTGCAGGGGTGATAGTTGGAGTGAATGGCGGTGCTCATTGTCAGAAATTTTACGATTTTAATTAGGGTGCACTCATATTTCGTTCCAGCGATGCCAAATGGCATGTGCACTGTGAATTTCTTCACAAATGCTTTTATTACAAGTACAAAGGAAAGGCTGGCGGCACTTTTCATTCTTCTGGTTCATCTCGTTTCCAGTGGTTCAGTGTCTTCTACCTGCATTGGCGAAAGTGAAGTCGTTCTTTTATGCGCATAGTATTAGTGAACGTGACGAGGAAAACATTTTGAACGTGGAAAGTGCTCTGTTTGGTCTAAAACGTAAAGTTTCGACAAACCAGTTGTCCATTAAAGACTTTTTTGGTAAAAAGAAGTAACTTTGAAAGAGAAACATTGTTTTTTTTAAATTTTTAATGCTTTCCCGCATCTATCGTTTTCCCGCATTCATCGTTTTTATTTCCCACCCCCGCCGAAAACGATGCATCGAGGTTTCACTGTAATTGTGTATATAATAAGCATTTGGTTTGTGTGAATACACAGTATTTACAAAGATGTAGTTGTTGCTTGACATTAAATTTTATGGTAGCTGGTATTTATAAATACCAGCTACCAAACTTATTCAGCACAGAATTGTAAGTTACTTACAAGCCTTCCATATGAACACTAAGGAAGTGATCGTGTAGGCAAATTATTGCAAATGACTCGCAAGATTATGTTTATTAGTATAAATTTATCCAGATTTACATAATTTGGAAATGAGAAGCACCACATTAACTGTAAAATTGGTTTGAATTGTACATATTTAATTATGAATCAGTTTATTTTTCCTCTTTTTGTTTCTTAGAATTCCTGGACCCATCTGACAAGAGCTTGGCTCATGTTATATTTGGGACTCAGCAACTGCATATCTACCCAGTTGCCATATTAGATGTCACCAAGACAAGAACTGCAGAACCTGAGTACCTCTTATGTTTCAATGTTTTTGGTGTTTTTGTGGATAAATTTGGGCAGCGAACACGATTAGATGACATAAAATGGAGCCATTTACCTCTTGGCTTTGGTAATAGTTTAATTTTGATTTTTTTATTTACATTTCTATGAAACAATTTAAGATTTTACAGAGTTTGTTTGTTTAGATTTGGGTTGTGTTGTCTTACTGCTATATTTCCAACTTTGTTGTGGTGTGAGACTGATTAAAAAAAAAATAATGTTAAAGTTTCATAAAAGTATAAATTCTGATGGAACAGTATGATCAAAAATATTTTGGAAATTCCAGTACTTTGCTAGTAGGATTTGTAGTTTCCTAATCTGAAGAAAGTTCAGTTGGCATTATGATGTATTGGATGTAGTGGATATTTGGGAGACAAAGATATGGAATGGAAGGTATTACAAAAATTGATTCAAAAGCAAAAAAAAGCTTATGTGTGATAGGATACATTGCTGGATTTTTGCTTAAAGAGTATTTGATTTTCAATTTCTACTGCTGGAAGTTTGACAAAAAGATCAGCCACACCATTTTGAAAGACATGTTCAGTAGATGCTTTATGTTTGTAACACATTTACATTATTCAAACATAGAAAATGCCTAGAATATAAATGGTATCCATTAATAAACACAATTTACTCTATTTCAGCCTATCGCAAGCCATATTTATTTGTTGTTCACTTTGCTTCGGTGGAGGTTATGAAACTGTCAGATTTGTCATTCATCCGCAGTCAGGATGACAGCAACTCCATTGTGAACTATCCAGAGCAAACATTTATTGAGCTCAGTAATCCCCGTTTTCTTGGTAAGTAGCATTTATTGCAACATTTATCTTGAATTTCATTGGAATCTGTTAATGCAATGGGCAAATATGTTACTTCTTATTAAGAGCTTATATTTTACTAAAAAGTTTGTAGTGAGGTGATGTTAGAATTAACTCCAGTGGGCATCAGAAATGTATTCATTTGCTATCAAATGAAATTGATCAATTAAATGTGTTATAAATTCAATTTATCATTGTAGGTAAATATGTTCATCAATAAATCCAGGTGTGTTTTGAACAGTTTACTGATTGTTCAAGCTATCCTTTTAAAGTTGCCTAAGTCATTGAATCCAAAGATTTTATGACTTGTTATTGTTCTTGTTAAGTTAAAGGCATGTCAGCATTTGTGGCTCTTAAAACCTATGTCCATTTTGAATTAAAAGAGTGTGCCACATCATGGTTAAAATTCATCTTTATCCTGCCAGAGTGGTATTCCCAAACGTAATAACAACAACTACAAGAAAACCAGACTGTAGAGAACAGTCACTTGAACTGAGGATAAAAATACAAAGTCAGCACAGTAACATTTATCTGTATTCCACCAGTATGGTACACTAATATGTAATAACAATGCCAGATACATTGACAATTTGCTTGCTGGGTTGCAGGTCCAGTAGAAGGTCAAGGTCCAGCCATATATGTAGGTCACTGCACCCAGAGCAAGATGGAGATATTGATAGTGGAGGGTTCTTTTGCATGCAAGGAAGAGAGTTTTAGTGTAACGAGCACAGACAGATCAACAGAAGGGTGAGTGAACTAGCAGGCATTGGACCAAGAAAGTACCCATCTGTTACTTGATCTTTTAATCTTAAGATCTGTTAAATGAAGAACCATAGAATAAGGCTCCTCTCGTTAGAGTGGATACTGTATTAGAGACCTTTTGTTGTGTGCAGTGTGATTTATAATATAACGGCTTTCTTTTCTGTTTTGTGTACTTTGTTGAAAACAGCTGTCTGTGTTCAGCATGCTTTTCACATTGTGGTTTTATATTCTGTTCAATTGTAAAAAAAGTTTATTTTATCCTCAAGTGGACCATTTTATATAACTTATGTGTCATGGAGTTCCCTTGTAGTAGAAACCCAGCCTGTAATTAATATGATATTTCCATCCATTTAGTTTTTCCTTTATGATATTATTCCTTGTGAATTTAACTTTAGAACAGTGATAGGCAAAATAATTCCTGCAGAATATTCTGTCTAACCTGCAATGGTGTTCAGATATTAATATTGGTGTCCTTTATACATTTTTACTTCCTTGTACACTGTAAGTATTGTGAGTACAAAAATAAATAATAAATATTGAGAATTTGACAGAAATATTTGTTTTTGAGTCCCATGTATACATGTTTCCAAAATTTATGTACTGGGGACCCAAAACATGACATTTCTGTCAAATTCTCAATATACCTGTGTTTCCATTTACCACATATAAAATTTGTTAATAGAAATTCAAGTGGCATCCACTCTAATTTTGTTTTAATGTGTCTCTTAACACTTGATAACAGAAATGAGAGTTTGGGATATTGTGCCTAAATTTATCATTAACAGTGTTATTTCTGCTGTTTCTTGTATGTCTTTAAAATGTGCTCATTCGGTGATGATCGCTGAAAGTTATTTTGACAGTGTCTAAAATACAGACTTTTCTCATGAGGTTCTTCACCTTTCAGTCACTTCAAAATAACCCCATCTTTTTCACAAGTAAAGTTATTGCCAATTATTTCCTTAGGCTCTTATTTTGGATATTTTTGTTGGGCTTCGTATTATCAGAATTTACCATCATAATTATTTATTCTAGAAAAGTTATTTTATTATGACCAATCTTTTATAAATGTAATAGAAATTAGTCACATGCTGATAAATAAATTTATGCTAATGTACTGTCTGATGGATGAAGTAGTTGTAAAATAAATCTTATTACTGTGAGTGTAGTCAATAATGGGAGCACTGTCCTCGTAGCTTGTGTTTATTTGTTTATTATTTGAGCATGCAGCAATAAAGCATGTCAGATTTGTCAGTCTCTGATTCAAAAAGGGGGGAAGAAAATATACATGATTTTTGTGGGAACTGTGTCTAAATCTTGTAAGTCATATCTTAACAGCCTGCTCTAGCATTTGAAGTGGTGCATGATTTATTGTACAGGGATGGTGCTGACCTCAATGGTTATGCAGATTCTGAATTCAGCTTTACATCATCATTGGTACAGTCTCTGGAGAATATCAGAGACTCTACCCTTTCTGTGGATAATGAATCTATTGATTTAAACACTCAGCATAGAAGAGTACACTTTGATGGTGTGTGAACAAATTGGTGAGTTATAAGATTATTTTCTGGAAGTCTTGTCAAATGGTTGGATCATATTTGTTGTATGTAAGGTTTTCCTTTTCTTCCTGGAAATATTAAACCCACACAATAATGTGTTCCAGTTTTTAGTGTCATGTAATTTTATGTGTGTACTCAGTGAAGGAGAGAATGGGGTGATGTCTTTAATACATAGAAATGTGAAAGCACTATTGTACAAGATTTTATTAGAAAGTATAGATTCTGGGTACTGTACTTACAAGGATGAGAAAATAATCCCGATCAAAGTAGTGTAAAATTTCCATTGGTTGTAAAAGAGTCTTTTATACATTTTCATGTACATGAAGTACAAAACAGTGGATCAGGGGGGCCCCCCCCCCTCCATCCTTTCAGTTCTTTCATCTAATGGACTATATATGAAGATAGGTGTATGTTTTGAATTTTCAACACTTTATATATGAGAATGGAGTATCCTGCATTTAGACCATACCTCGTGTGTTCAGACTGAAGCTTTGGCATAAAAAATGTAACCTACACACTTGTAAATACAGTATATATTATTATAAGCTCAATGGATGATTTGTGTGGGTTATTTCTGTACTGCGTAACAAACCAATTGTGAATTGCCAGATATAAATCCTGAGTTAACTAACCTGATTGAGAATTATTGTGGTTCATCTTTTGTGTTTCCTGGCAACGTGACCTGAACAAATGTTAATTTATATTTTATGAAATTCTGTTGAGTGCCTCATCTTGAGACTTGTCCATAATCTTGTCACACTTGTGTACAGGTATCCTGTGTCATGTGTAGTTACATGTTGGATTGTAACCTGCTGTTTTTTTTAAAAAAAATTTGTTTTCCAGTGTAAAGACTGCCAATTAGGATTCTAAAACCTGAAGAAGCATTCATATCTGTTATGCTGGAATCATCTATGATCTGTTGAAACTGGGTTGTTCAAGATGCATCAGGTTTCTGTCAGAACTACAGTGGTATCTGGTTTTACTTTATTTGAATCGATGTACTTTGTTGCACATAATGTTGGCGTTAATTATTTTTATATGTGAAAGAAGTGATGTTTAGCAAGGATTCTATTATTCATGGTAGTTTCATTCAGGGAACCTCTATTGGACTTTATTACTGTATCCACATTGTGTGTTCCAGCCATAAATCACCATATAGACCTTATGATAACTTGTAATATAAAGCAATGATTAAGTGGGTCCAGATTCTTGAATAAAGTGGTTTAATGATATTTCCAATTTATGTGCATTCAAATCAAAGTACATACTAACAAAAGTTTTTTTACAGATTTGTAAGTGATGTTTATTTCAATGTAGATTGTAATGTAAGAAAAGTTACAGAATAAAGTAGCAACAAATGGCTTGTAACCATTGTTTTGTGTCATTATTCCTCATTACTGTCTGAGGTACTGCTAAGTCAGGACATTAAGTGATCAGAGTAGTCCAGGCTACTGTATACAGTTTAAAAAATTGTCCTGTCATATATAGTAACTAAGTGTAGAAGCTTGGTAATAACAACTTTACAGAATTTTATGCAACTTCAGGAATATAGGAATGAAGGAAACCTAAGCTACCTGCATTAACAAACCACTAAAACAAACCTGTTGCCAGCATGAAATATTCTATTATTCTATGCCTGTAATTTTACCATCCTACTTAAATTTAGGTTGTGTATTTAAATTGAGTTTGCATATAACAAGCACTGACTCAAGACAAATTCCACCAGGTTATAAATATTTTAAATTATTGGCCTATTGTTTTACTTAAATTAACTGGAGTTTTAACTAAAAAATGTTTTGTGACATGAATAAATTAATATTGTCTATAGGTAAATGTTGTTGCTGCTGCTGCATGATTGTGCCATTTTATGATGGACATATTTTCCATGTAAGATTTGAGGTTTTCACAGAGGTGAGTAAGAAGTTTTCTAGGTTATTGCGCTGTGTAGTCTGGTCGATGTTAACCAACGTTTCAGAGGTCATACTGCCTCCATCATCAAGGCTAATTTAACTTTTTATTAAAACAGTTAGAAAAAGTATTGCTGCATGTCATGAAAATGATACCGTTTCAATATTGTATCCCAAATCTGTAATAAAATTGTAGATTTACTTGATAACAGATTAGAAGATCCTGAGCACTGAATTCAGTGTCAAGCTTGCAATAGCAGTACTGAATAACTTATTCTCTTGTTTGAGCTCCAATACTGAGGGGTCTGAGCTGAAGTTATAGCAAAAGCACCACTTTACCTTCACATCTGGTTTCTAGATGGTCCATAAAAGATCAATCAGCAGTGCCTGCTGTATTGTGCACAATTCAAGGATTTGACAGAAAAAGAATGAAACTCTTATTTTATGAACTTGTGGAAAAGAAACCTGAATTATTTTAGTGGTTTTAACTCATAAATTTCAT